TCCCCCCGTGTGGTTCTGGGATCTTTGCTCACCGTTCTCATGATCATTTTGACCCCACGGGATGAGATCTTGCGTGGAGCCCCAGATCGAGGGAGATTATCAGTGGTCTTGTATGTCTTCCATTTTCTGATGATTGCTCCCACAGTTGATTTTTTCACACCAAGCTGCTTGCCTATTGTAGATTCACTCTTCCCAGTCTGGTGCAGGTCTACAATACTTTTCCTGGTGTCCTTCGAAAGCTCTTTGGTCTTGGCCATGGCGGCGTTTGGAGTCTGACTGTTTGAGGCTGTGGACAGGTGCCTTTTATACAGGTGATGAGTTCAAACAGGTGCCATTCATACAGGTAACGAGTGGGGGACAGAAAAGCTTCTTACAGAAGACGTTACAGGTCTGTGAGAGCCAGAGATTTCCTTGTTTGAGGTGACCAAATACTTATTTTCCACCCTGATTTACGAATAAATTCTTTACAAATCCTACCATGTGGATTCATGGATTTTTTTTCACATTCTGTCTCTCTGGTGCAAATTACTGACCTCTGTCATCATCTTAAGTGGGGGAACTTGCACAATCGGTGGCTGACTAAATACTTTTTGCCCCACTGTAGCTAGCGCACAAACGTTACTAGCGTTACCCACGGATACACTGAATCAACTCTCTTATTTGGACACATTAAATGCCTTATAAACAAGAAAAACACTCTAAACATGTTACAGTAAATAAGTATCAACTTTTCATAAACATATGTAGTGCTCGTATACTGCTTTCACCTGAAACACAGCAAAACAGCAGTTCTTTGTTACTGACGGCTTCCATTACAATAACTGGTCTTATTTTGCCAGTTTGTCTCAGCCTCCACTGCCACCTTCTGGCAAAACTAAATATCACCCTAACATCACATCAGGGGGGAGCAAATGAGCTTTTGGCTCTGTGCTATGATATGAACTGTTGTCATAACAATAGCAAAAAAAGGTGATGTTGGGTGGGGAGCACGAACTCGTCACAAGAACTTCAACAAGAATTCTGAGACTTGTTTTTGACGCTTAAAATACTCAGGGTGCCACACATGCTTTAACCAAAATTAATTAAATGAATGAATTAATGAATTGGTTGCTCAGTCAGCAAGCTCTTAATATTATTTCTTCATGAAATGTATTAAATTGTAATACAAATTGCTATTTTGTGTTTGTGGTGTGAGAGAGTAGGGAGAGAGACAGAGAGAGACCAACTTTCACAAAGGTTGCATCATATTTCTTTTCCATCATTTTGGTGAAGTGGGAGTGGCCTGGTAGGTAGTTATCATGGTAATCGGGGTTGAACTGCTTGATCATCTCTTTGAAACCTCAATCATCAACCATGGAGAGGCGTCTCATGTCTATCACCAAGATGTTCAACATTAATTCAGTCAGGATATCTGCTTGCTGGGGTGTGCATGTTGTTGGCTTGGTGACAAAGTTGTCCATTGAAGACAAACACATTTTCTTTTAGCAGTACTGTAACGTACCATTTACAGTCCACACACAGCCCAGGTGAACTACACCTGCAGTGATTCTACAGCATTTCCTCTAAGTTCAGCTATGAAAAATTGTGAATACATCCTCTCAGATAGCAATCCATAGAGACAGCACTGGAATTCCCATTCACAAACGTATACATCTGCAAATAACTTTTAACTGCAATTGACCCAAGCGTAATTATAGTGTTGTGTGCGTCTTGTATTTGTCATGCTTTTCACTTCAAAACCAACCTTTTAATTTTAGCCTAGCAGAGAATTTGTGGTCCTCAAATCTGTGGATACAGTTTACAAATATATGTACCTCAATTTTATGTGGAAGAAGTCGGTCACAGATGGCTTCCACAGCTTGTGTTGTTGAATCGCCAACTGTATCGTCTGTTTAACCACTCGATTAAATCTCTCAATTTGCCCAGTAGCAGTGCAAGATGAATGGTGATGGCGAATTTGTCTGTCTTCTATTAAGGCAGCAAAGGCAGCAGAGGTTCTCTGAACACCGCTTTGTATTGTAATAACAGTGTTTGTATTAATGTTCTGAGTAAAAGCAGCCTCTGGCCATTTCCTATAATAATCAGTCAGATTATTAGATTAGATTAGTGATTATAACTACAAGAATCAGTGCTCCTTCAGCAAACATACCTAGATGCTGGAGGATCAAAGTCAAATTAACTCACAGTGACTACAGCAAACTTATGCCATGGGCCATCTGGCAGAGGTAAAACTGGTCAATCAACTGGCACAAATGACAGAAGTGAATGGCATTGATCACCTCTGTGTCCATGTTCAGCCACCAGTAGAGTTCACTTAGTCATTGCTTTGTCTGCAGCACTCCCTCATGAGACTCGTACGCAGTGGAAATCAGGTCAGGATGCAAAGCCATGAAAAACAAAAAGGTGGTCGAAAGAGTATTATGAGCAGTATTTGAGAAGGGCAACAAATACAGGGTCAGTGTCATCAACATGTACAGAAGCGCCACTGGAACCAGCTGATGGAGCAGCAGGAAAGGGCAAGAAGTACGTGCAGTCCGCTGCAGCATTGATGGTGGTCTGTCCGTAGGATAAAGTGGCGTTCCCAAAGGTATCTACCCCAACATTCAGCAGCCTGCATGGCGTGAGCAGAGTGTAACAACTGATACTTTACCAGTCACATGTCAGAACTCTGTAGCTCATGTCATACACACAGGGAGCATCCTGTCCTGCTCACTCATGCTACATCCTGTCTGGGTAATTCCTGTATTCAAAATACAAAAACAGGATGCAAAAGTCATCTATCACTAAAAATTCTCACTACATTTGCAGCTTGTCTGTGCTTTTGAAAATAAAACCTTTGCCTTGTTTGTAGCAGATCATTAAAGTGAAACTCATATTCATTGTGGAATAGTACCAGCAGAGTGATTTACAAACTCACGAGCCTGACAAAATATAGGGAAATGAGAGCTCCTATTTTGCTCCTATAAGACTATTCTGGGAATAACAGTCATTTTTATTCTAGAGCCCTTTGCGCTCAGAGGAAACTGGATTCATTATAACAACAACACTGCTATTGTTACATTCAGAATTATTTGTGCATGAAGATATCCACTTCTCCCAGTGTTTTGGCAAAATTGACAATGCAGAAATCACAGCAAAACAAACACCATACATCAAACAGCTAAAAGGTGTCAAAAGAACCGCTTGGATTATCACAGCCTTAGATAACAGAAATGCGTGTTGACACACACACACACACACACACACACACACACACACACACACACACACACACACACACAGTCTTCTCCCACCACTAATCTGTAATCAGATTGCTATCCTTGCTGTCAACTGAGAAATTCTCTAATCATCTTAATGCATAACAGCCTTTTTAGTAAAACTGGGTCATTTTACTTTTACTTTCCGATTGCAAAATACTTTTTAAATGCAAGGGCTCAAACAACATTTGCCTTGATTGCATTGCAAGTAAAGTAAAGTAAATTTCTGAAATAGAAAATTAAATCTGGACTATGATCTTAATATCGCCAATGGGATAGGAATCTATTGACACAGATTGGCATGAGATACAACGGCCGAACTAAAGAGGAGCAACAGAGGCTGCAAGGGTGGAGCGAGGAAAGCGGATCACCGGAGGCGATTCAAACCATCAATCCCAACAGTGATAATGGGCAACGTGAACACATTACAGAATAAGATTGATGAACTGTCTGCTCTCAACAACCACCGACTCTACCGAGAGTGCAGTTTGTTTATCTTCACAGAGACGTGGCTAACCGAGCTAACGCCGCAGGCTAACATAGACCTATGTGGATTCACATCCATGAGAGCTGATAGGGACACACAGGCCAGCGGAAAAAGCGTTAACAACAGATATTGTAACCCTGGACACGTCTCCGTGAAAGTATAGGTATGCCGTCCGGACCTGGAGCTGTTAGCCATTAGCTTGCGGCCATATTATCTACCTCGTGAGTTCAGTGATGTGATCTATGTGTGTGTTTACATTCCTCCGAGGGCCTACGCAACAGCTGCCTGTGAGAATTCTTTACAAATCCTACCATGTGGATTCATGGATTTTTTTTTCACATTCTGTCTCTCACAGTTGAAGTGTACCTCTGGTGCAAATTACTGACCTCTGTCATCATTTTAGGTGGGGGAACTTGCACAATCGGTGGCTGACTAAATACTTTTTTGCCCCACTGTATGTACTGAAACCAACTACTTCCGCTTGTCAGCTTAAGTTAAAATGTTAATTTTTTCCTCTGATTATTTTTTTTTAGCATTTTTTTACTGAGTTTGTTACAAATATTCAGGTTAAAAAAACTGTCGGAATTATTTTTAATGAGTTATGTTCACAAAGTCACATGTGCAGTACTCTGTACAGGCCTTTAAAACAAATAAAAATTAAACAGCTGTCGGCAGAACTGTAGGACTGAACAACTTCAGATCCCGAGTGTGTGAGGACAGAGAAGGATCAGCTCTATTTCAGATTTGAGATAAACTTTATATTTCAGTTTGTGATGATTCTGTTTGTGATTACAGGAGCCGTCCTCAGATTCAGACCTCAGCACCACCCAGTGACAGCAGACAGATCATCCTATATCTTCACTCTTTGTAGTAACTCCAAAATTAACTGAAGAAAACAGTACAAAGGTTAAAGTACCACATGTGCTGTCACTGAAAGCTGCAGCTGTTTTATTGATAAAGTTAAAGACAACAAGTCAAAAGGATTAATCACCCCTGTAACTGTGTCACTGTACATCAGCATTAACAGTACCTCAGTTTGGTGTTTCAGAAAACTGCTGATCTCAGACCTGCACAACTTCTGTTTTAAACACTGAATGTACTCACACAGGAAAACGGAGAGAGTAATTTTTCCAGAGTCAACATCATTTTCATCTAAAAGAGTAGTTATTGCACGTTTTGGAACCTAATCACTTCAATTGGCCGCTAGAGTTGGAGCCAAAAAACAGAGGAAATTCTATCAGAGTAATATAGAACGACCACGCCCATTTTCGCTTCTTAAGTTTCGTTTCTGCCGCCATTTTCTTATTCCGCAGTGGAACGGAGGCGACTGTCAGCATAAGCCAGGTAAGTGAGCAAAGTGCTAAATAATGATTTTATATAGAATAAAATGTGGAGTTTTTGTTTATGTGAAGGGTAATGCATGTATTATATTACAGCTTCTGAGTTTGTGGGTCTTACATGCTACATAATTGCCAAGGTTTATGCTAATGTTAGCTTCCAACAAAATTAATGTTGTTCGACCACTCAGACAGCTATATTTCAATAAACTTAATTTAGCATTGCTGAATAGCTGTTTTTAGGTAGTATAATTGACCAGGGAAGTGTGTTTTTAACAAATCCTGTGCACCAATGTTTTATCCAAAATGGTAGGTGAGCACATGTTTTTTACTCAGAATTGAATTGTGTGCATGGTTGCAGTCTGTAGCCCCTAGTGTATTAGATTAGCATTATACAAACTTCCTATTGCTGCAATGTAGAGCTTTGTATTACTTATGTGTTTTTTTTTTACATGCTTTTTCATCAGAACAGAGCATCGTGAGATTGTAAGACATACAAGGAATATATGTGTGTGTTTTGTTCAATTTTGCAAGTATTTGTAATAAATCAGATTATTTAACAATATCCTTTTCATATCATGAAGGATGCAAGCTGTGCGTGTAAAGTATAGAGAACAACAAAAGTACATCTGTTTTGAGGGCCAACTGACCTACACATCGTTTTTGGAATGTGGTGAGTAAAAAAATCAAAGTTTCCAGTGTGTTTCATAGCTTGTGTGAATAAGTCAAGCTTTGGGGATGGTGCTATAATAGCTGCTATACCAAATGTTTAGGCTTTTTTTCTGGTTCAGTCTATGTAATTTCACTTTTTTTTTGCCTTGTTCTGGTATTAATTTCAAATGTATAATGCAATTTTATAATGTTCACAGTTGCCAAGAAGTTCAACATTCCAAACTTGGACTTCAAAGTTTTTGATGGCTCAAAGACTGAAGTTGATGAGGATGTTTTTGATTTCCTTATGAAAAAACAAAACCTTGGTGTGCTAGAGATTTGTCAAGCACAAGGTCCAAATCCAGATGGTAAGTATCTTGGAATGTCATCATCATCGTCATTTTTAAACTTTTAATTGACCGGGTAGTGGGGAGAGAAACCACAGTCCAGTTTATTTCCTGGTTGCAAGTGGAGAGGGTGTGAGCAGTTACGTAAGCACAGTCAGTTGTCCTATCAAATTACTTGGTCCAAATATTAAGATTGGCCAAACTTTTTTCAGGATCCCACGGGAATGGAATAATGATGAGTTTCCCTGATGGAATTTTTAACAGTTTAATGTCCCATCAGCTTGGTAACAGCATTTTAACTTAAGCAAAGAAAAATCTAACATCTGCAGAAAGGTAAATGTCACTAGAATCACTCAATCACTCAGCCACTGTGTCATTCATGCTTTAACCCTTGTATGGTGTTCGGGTCTGTGAGACCCGTGTTCAGTTTTTTTCAAAAGAAAAATTAAACAATTAATTATTTTTTCACGTGTAAATGTGTTGTGTCTTTCCACTCACTCCACTTGATTATAACTGATTTATTTATAACATTTTATATAAAAGAAAAACGAGAAGCACATTAATTCATAAATGTGATCTAACAAAGGTAAAGGGAAAAAATTAACCATGTTTGCTGTTCATATGTCTTGTAATTGGGATGAAGTAAACATCTGTTGAGTAATTTAACATAAAATTGTTTGATAGTGTTAATTTGGAAAGCCAAAACTCTAGCGGGTCCACCAGACCCATGAACACTGGCTGAGTAACAAAAATACAAACACCACACAAAGGTTAAGTCCTGGCTAGTAGAACATGTTCTGTGTAAGGCAAGCTAATAAATTTACTGAATTGTTTTCAAATAATCCTATATTTTGCTGGGTACTACAATGTTTATGATTGTGTAAATAACACTAACCATCATACGAACTTAAACAAGAAGGCAAGAAGACATGAAACACTAAACATATAAAGGCTAATTTACATCATGGAGCCCTGCTCTCAAAAACTGACATGGATTTAACTATTTCTGAAGCTGGATTTAAGAAATAACTGCTAAACATTTAAAAAGATTTTCTGTTTGTTATGGAATGTGATGTCATGTGGTTGGTTGTGACTAATAAACTTAAATTAGTTTATGTTATCGATTCTGTCACTCATTGGCTAAAACAGGAACATCAAGGCACTACAACTAAAAATCTTCAACACTGCTCACTCATAAAGCACTTTACAAACCCAGCTACATGAACCTCATTGTTGCAGTCAGGGGCAGCACAAAAGTGACCTCTATAATTTTTATGATTTGATAGATTCTTCTGCAAGCACCTCCTTTACCAGTTCCAGTGGAAAAATTGAAGTGGACTCTGATGACACCATATTATTGGAACACAGTCCTACAACAAGACGGAGAGCTGACGACACTTCTCTTGCCCGAGTAAGCTATGTAGTTTGCTGTATACCCTTTCAGAAAGTTGACACAAATTTGAATATATTATATGTATTATTATCACTGTCATAAAAGCACAAGATTCTGCTGTCTTTCCTTCAGCACAGGTCTGCAAATTGTAGACCAGATCGGCAACATAAAAAGTTAGTGTGCTTGAGAGACAGACAAATTTAAGGGTAATTATTTGTGCTTTTTAACAGAACTTTAGGTGGCTTTGAAGCACAGTGATCATGAATATCTAATGAACCTCAATTCTATACTAAAACATACTTTAAAAAAATAACATGTATTCGTGACTATAGACCTTTGATTTGATCTAGAACGAACCTGAAAGCTTTTTTAGTATCACAAGAAAAATATTTATGATATATTGATTATATATTATTATATCGCTCTATTTTACTGTAACTTAGATGGTTGAAGATGTTCTAAAGAACAAACCAGGAGGAGAGAGGATCATCAATGAGTATGCCCGGACAAAAAGCCTAACGGATAGCAGACGGCGTGACATGGTCAAGATATTAGTTGCACATATGACAAGTGAACATGGGTATGCTGACATAGTTATTTCATAAGTATATATATGATAAATTCATTTATCATTTATTCATTCATTTATTTTCTTAGAGGTGGTATTTAGACTTTCAACTTTGTGTTTGTCTGTGTAGGACAAGTCCTTCAAGACGTGTTAAAGAGAAATATGCAAAGGGTATCATCACGTTGTTCCCATACCTGGCTGATCCTAGGAGCAGGCTGGGCTATGTAAGTACAAAAAAGAATAAGTTCAAACAATTTACTTTTCACTCGTGAATGTAAGACATTTTTCAGGCATGAAATATATGTAGAATTTACTTAACAGTTTGGCTCTGGATTGAGTAAAGCTGAAGATGTTTTTCTTTTCGCAGGACTTTCCTCTGTGCTGCCTTTTCTTAACTCTCATTATTTAAATCCCTTTAGAGTTCAGCGCTCCAGTCCCGAGCAAGGGAGCTCAATTGCTGCAATTTTCAGATTGAAAGTGTAAATATATTTTAACATGTTAATTAAAATATTTCATTTAATTTTAGGAGCATTTTTACAATGCAGAAGATGGGAGTGGGTATCTGGCTTGGAGATTGAAGTTTATCCAAAAGGAAGCTTCTAATGGACAAAACAAGACTCCCAGAATGTCAAAAACGCAAATGGGTATGTGATATTGTTAGTAGTTATAATTCAAGTCTCACTCATCTGGAGACTAAACTGCATGCATGAAAATTCTAGCTGAGTTCTCAAGCCTTGTAGGACACGGTGTCACTTTTTTGTCTTATTCATATCCACTGTTAGGGGGCCCAACATCTGATAGAGACTGTTTCAGAGAAGACAACTGCCTAATGACAGACAGCTTGTGTTCTGAGGCTATTGCACTGATGAAACATACAGCTGATGAAGGAATTGTTATGATGAAGATGAAGCAGACCTTCAACTATCGCCAAAAGATGATTCATGATCCAGTGAAGTCATCTGATATCTTTTTGGACTTCCCAAGATTCCTGGATATAGGAGGATTAGTATGTTTATCTTACCTTCAACTTCCCTCACTGTTACATTTATAAGTTGAGGTGCATCTGAGAAAAAAGTGAGCATAAAAGTTGTTTGATACAAGGAGTTTCAAAAACTTAATTTCATCTCTTCTGCAGATTGAACAAGATTTTACTTTGATGTTCGATGAAGCCACCTCTGTGAAGTTCCTGGAGAAGTGGCCCACTATCTACAAGCAGAAAGTCCTCAAACAAAGCCGTGGTCTCACGCAATCAGATGACCTTCAGTACCTTGTGCAAAATGCTGAATGCACAATAGAAGTGGAAAATGGTGAGATAAAATAAATGGAATTTTATTGTTATGTTTTAATTGGAGCATTTGAAAGTGTAACACCGTCACCTGCTGTCGCTTTTTTTTTTTTCAAAACTTTATAATGTAAGTGTTAACACAGTTGCAGATAACGTGTTTTGGCAGCTAATTATTGTTTCCAATTTACTTATGTTTCCAGGATGGGACAGTGACATGTCATCCATTTTGATCCTTGTACACCTGTTACCACCATCACCTCATGGCCGCAAGAGACCAGGAAAGCTCTCAGCCAGACAAGCCTGTGACCATCTTGTCAAGTTTGTCAAGGTAAAGTTACAGTAAAGGAAACATAACTAGTTATATTTACATTGATAACAATATTTCAGACGAACTAAAAGGTGTATGTTTAAATACAACTATGAATTTAGTCATTACCAAGAGATGTATACAGCTCAGTCAAGCAGCCTTTATGTCTTCCACAACCATATGTAGGCTGTATTTGCAACATCACACATTTCTTTTATCACTTGAGTAAAGTACACAAACAACAAGTCATTCCAAACTTTAAGTTCATTGTAAATAGAAATGCTACAATTTCAACAAATTAACTGTCATGGTAATTAACATATTTATATAGATTATATCTGCATATAGATTTTTGTAGATATACAGATAACAGATACTAGTTTTGACAAGCTAGTAGTTAAAATTGAACTAGTTTTGTCTGTTTTGTATCTGTCCTTAATTCTGTCAGCTTCTTGTTTTTTAACCGAAGTCTTATCATGTTGGAACGTTTATCTGTCTTTGTGTCACAGACGGGAACTAGCATCCAGGGGCATCTCGATGGCATCACAGAGAGCCTTCAACCATACCTTCTTGCAGTGGGCACTCAGAGGAATGTGATTCACAAGTACTTCATTGTGATAGACAAACATGCAGTACCTTGTAAGTCACCAGGCTCTCTTGCTTGTTTTGATGAGCTTTTCAAAGCTCACTTTGTCTTTGGTACGTCATATGACCACGATCTGGTCAATATGTACAACTTCCTGCAGACCACCATTTACGAGATAGATGTTGATACAACCAAAGTGAATCCTAGGGTTGCAGAGTTGAGGGCTCGGATGCTGCGTTGAATTTTTTTTTTTCTACTAAGAGTGTTGAACTGGAATGTTTTGTTTCATTTGCAAGAGGTCCCAGACAAATGCTAATTCCTTGATAAAGCATTTCAAAGTGATCCATGGACTCTGTTCTGGTAAGACTCTTCGTCTTAAAGGTGGCCAGTTTGGTTGTGCTCAAGTTTATGGCACATTTTCTGGGTTCAAGTTTTGTGTACAAGAGATGGAACTCATGTAATTTGTGTTGAAGAGCTTTTCTGTTGTAAAGCATTTGATTTACAGGTGTCATACAGTGATAGTGATTCCAGTTTTTATATTGTACCATACTGTTTCCTGTGAACAATAAAGGTGGCTGTTAAAATATAAATAATTTCTGATTTATTTATTGTACCTTGCAGTGAATGATAATACATAGAGGGCGAAATAAAGTCACATATTTTTCTTCTTTTAATTCTATTTAGAGTAAAATTTAGTTGTATGTAAAATTTTAATTCTATTTGGAGTGAAAATGTTGTTCTATTTGAAATAAATTAGAATTCAATTCTGAGTAAAATTCTGCTCTATTTAGAATAAAATACTATGTAGAGTAAAATTCTGTTCTA